GAGGGGGATGTTGGAGAAGGCCTGCTGGGGTGTTGTTTGTTTGCTTTTGTTTTGCTTTATTTTTTTGTTTTGTTGTGTTTAAATTGTTTGATTTTTTAGGGGGTGAGATATTTATTGGAGAATGGGGTCGGGTTTTGTTGTTGTTGTTGTTGTTGTTGTTGTTGTTATTTTGGGGAAAATCTATGTGGATAACGAAGTTAAGCTTCTTCAAAAAGAGTTTTCGTCTTCAAAGAGTTACTAACGTGTCTCAATTTGATTGGTCCACAGAGAAAGAGAAGCCCACGACCACCCCACCTCCTCAAACAGCAAGTGAGTTTGGAACCCCAGACGTTAGCCATAACATTAAGCTATGATATAAAATGTGTGACAACACGGTGGAATCAGGCACTTGTCAATTTTTGGGCATGTGGAGTTATTGCTATCATCTGAAAGCTTATTCATTTGCCTCACTTTCAAAATACCCATCTATCTTTAAATAAAAATCAAGATATTTGCGATTGAAGGAGGTGACGACGCCTGGTTTCAGTGATGAAATAAGAGAGAAAATAGCCAACAAAGTTTGGTAACTCCAATAGCTACAGAGTCCTTGAAAACTGAAAAATGACATATTTTGTTCCTTTAATCAACGTTTTTCAGTAAGATTCACATGTAAATATGTTTTTATATTGACGTAAAAGGGGTTGAGTTAAAAAAACAAAAATGTGATAAAAACTGACAAACTGGCGGAAAAATGCCTGTTTCTCCGATTTTGTTATTTTGACGAGCGCCTGATTTCACCACGATGCCTCACAAATGTTGTTACTTGTTATAGAAAACCAACAAACAGATGTGTTGAAGCAGCAGAATTGAGTTGCTAATTTGAGAGCTCTTATTTTTGTCTTTGTATTTATGTTGTTTTTTCTTTCTCTATCCCTCCCTCTTCACCGTTTTTTCTTTCCATCTCTCCCTCCTCCCCCTCCTCCCTTCTCCCCCTTCCCCAGCGTGCGGTGAGGAGAACCCCGCTGACATCTACTTCGCCTTCAGCCCCGCAGAGCTCGGTCTCGCCGCTACCTCCTGGACCTCCTCCTTTGTCTCTATCACAGCCAAACAGGACGCTCTGGAAGACGGTTTCAGGGTGAGTCAGTGTTCCTGGCCCGTTGCTACGGACGTCGTCATGCGTCACATCACGGTTGCCATTTGGGTCGCTTTAAAATTAAGCACAAGGGGGGCTATCCCGAAAAATGCTGTAACAGAAATAGCATGTAATGTTTGACCCATGATAAGAGATATGTGCACAACCTGCACTTATTCAATATGGAAACTTTACTTATCAAATGAGTGTTTTATGTGATGTGATGTGTGCCAATGACCTTAAATACTGAATAAACTTACTTACTTACTTAAACAGGACGTTCTGGAAGATGGTTTCTGTGTTCCTGGCCCGTTGCTACAGACGCCATGCGTCACATCACGGTCGCCTTTTTGGTCGCTTTTAATTTTTAGGCACAAGGGGGGCTATCCCGAAAAATGCTGTGACAGAAATATGCAGGGAGATTTTTCTCTATAATCAAACAAATATACACACCAATGAAACCAAACTTCTCCTATAGATAGGGCAATGCCCATCGCACCACCATCATCACCACCACCACCACCATCAGACCATCACCACCACCACCATCACCACCATCACCACCACCACCACCATTACCATCACCACCACCACCATCACCATCACCATCGCACCACCATTACCTTCACCACTACCATCACCACATCATCCTCATCACCATCATCACCACCACCTTCACACCACCATCATCACCACTAACATCATCACACCACCATCACCACCACCACCATCACCACATCACCACCACCTTCACACCACCATCATCACCATCACCACCATCATCATCAACCCTTTCTCCCCTCCCTCCTCCCGCCAGTTTGGAGTGGTGTCCGGATCTTGCCCAGACGACGAAGGTTTTGACCTGGACGACTATTCCTCCGCGGAGGCCATCGAAGAGAGGATGACCGGCTACCTCATGCCGCGCATGTCCGCTCTCGTGCAGGTCAGTTCTGTCCCCGCCTTCGTTTTATGCAAGAAACATTCTGAAATTTTGCTGCAAACTGAGCCCAACATTCTGAAATTATGCTGCAAACTGAGCCCAACATTCTGAAATTATGCTGCAAACTGAGCCCAACATTCTGAAATTATGCTGCAAACTGAGCCCAACATTCTGAAATTATGCTGCAAACTGAGCCCAACATTCTGAAATTTTGCTGCAAACTGAGCCCAACATTCTGAAATTATGCTGCAAACTGAGCCCAACATTCTGAAATTATGCTGCAAACTGAGCCCAACATTGTGAAATTATGCGATTCTGTTAATTTTAACAAAGAATGGTAAAGGAAAATAATCAGAAATTATATAAAAAATGATCAAATTTTAATTGTGCTAAATTATGCGTTGTGCATAAAACCTTTTGGCACTGTCAGATTTAGTAGAGGTTTTACGGCAGTCGCAATTGCATAAGGTGATACTATGTGTGCCAGAAGATTAGAGGTGTTACAAGAGAGAAATAACATTAAAAAAGAAGAAAGGGGAGATAAGGACGATAGATGTTTCATGGGAAAGAAGAAGCAGACCACACCAGAGCACCCGCCAACCACCCACTTAGTAAGAGTGTTACGGCACTTGCAACACAATACAGTCATATAGGTGCCGAAGATTAGAGGTGTTACAAGAGTGTAACAAACACACAAAAATTGACAAAATTCATGGTGGTTCAGGATCATTTAAAGGGTGCCCAGTTTTATTGAGGATCCCCTAGTCACTGTATACATGTAGTTTAATTTTCAGTTTTTCATTAGTTTCGTTTAGATCTAATCTTGGGAGAGTCCGTCTTCTAAGACGCCATTGTAATCAAGTGAGGTTTCCGTTCACTAGCCGTGAGCACTTTTTCCACATCTGACCACCAATAATTAAAATGTATTTAAAGATGCACCAGCCATCCATGTCCACACATTTTAAATTCTAGAGTGTACAACCACGAAAGCGGAATAGAGAATCAATCTATACATCACTATATCTAGACGTTCTAATTTTTTGCATCTCTCAAGATTTATTGCTCCGTTCCAGTAGAGTGTAAATATAGTAGGCCAATGACTTTCAGTTGATGTTAATGCATTGGTTATTCATTTCATCGAAAGGGGGCCCAGCAAGTCTAACATAATATTATTTAATATCGTACAACCTCCCACTCCTGACCCGCTCCTTCCCCACCCACACACCCTACCCACAAACCCGCCACGCCCCCTCGACCTCCCCCCACCCCTCCACCCCTCAACCACATCCACCCCTCCAATGTCCAGCGACTGACCAGCACAGGCTACACCGCGACCTCTGGTGGCCGAGCGGACGCCCGTGACGTGGCCGTTCTGGTGGCAAATGGTGGGAAAAGGAACAAGGGCCTGGCAGCGGAAGTGGAGCGTCTTGTGGCCGCGGGAGTGGAGGTCAGTGGGGTCAAAGGTCGAGGGGGTTAAATAATGTCAAGGGGTACATCTGCTGGTCTTGGGGTTTTTGGGAGCTTGATGATGTGTTCGCTGGTGTGTGTTCGCTGGTGTGTGTGTGTGAGTGTGTGTGTGTGTGTGTGTGTGTGTGTGTGTGTGTGTGTGTGTGTGTGTGTGTGTGTGTGTGTATGTGTGCATAGTGCAAGCGTGAGTGTGTGTGTTTGAGTGTGTGTGTGTGTGCATACTGCAAGCGTGAGTGTGTGTGTTTGAGTGTGTGTGTGTGTGTGTGTGTGTGCATAGTGCAAGCGTGAGTGTGTGTGTATCTGTGAGTCTTTTCCTCTCACTGTGTCACCACTTCATATCATCCATCTCATCCACCCTCTCACCCACATTCCTACCTTACCCCCTCCCCTGATCCTCTTACCCTCTTACCCCACGCTTTCCATTTCATCCACCCTCTCACCCACATTCCTATCTTACCCCCTCCCCTGACCCTCTTACTCTCTCACCCCTCACTTTCCATCTCATCCACCCTCTCACCCACATTCTTACCTTACCCCCTCCACTGACCCTCTTACTCTCTCACCCCACGCTTTCCATCTCATCCACCCTCTCACCCACCATCTCACCCACCCTCTCACCTACCCTCTCATCTTCCCACCCTCCCCTTTTCCCCCTCCCACCAGGTGTTCATCGCTGACCCCATCGGCTCAGGTGTGAACATAGACGGCGCAATCACACTCACAGGCCGCAGTGCCAAGGAAGCGTCTGCCAACCTCGTCAACTACCTCTGTCCACCCAGGTAAGCGCGCGCAAACCAACGCCACTGGGCGTAACTGCCTGCTCAGCTTTACTTATTTATTTATTTATTTATTTAATTGAGGTATTTTTTTATTCATTTATTTATTTATTCATTTATTTATTTAGTTGAGGTATTTTTTAAATTTATTTATTTATTATTTATTATTTAATTGGGGTATTTTTTAATTTTCTATTATTTTTATGTTTCTTAATTATAATAAATACTGCTCTTGATCGTGTTACCGATAGAAATGGACAGTAACATAAATGATGACACTATAAGGGGTGCATGGAAGCGGAACCAATGAACTGGAAAAAAAAAGAATATTAATCCGCAGACAGGAAAAAGAGGCTCAAACAGAATCTGGACATGGATGGCTGGTGCCTCTATAAATAAATTATTGATGGTCAAGGGCATGCCTGCTCAGCCTAAGCCAAAGCCTAAGTCTTAGGATAATCAGATTCAAAGATGTTTAGATAATATTATTTCAAGTTTGAATCCTCTGTCAATTCTGAACCTTTGCCGAAATCTTAATATAAACCTAAGCAAAGATATCTAGATATTATTATTATTAAAAGTTTGAGCTGTTAGTCAAATCTGAACCCAAGCCGAAGTTTTAATAGGAACCTTATTAAGTATAGAGGTTTGAGCCCTTAGTCAATTCTGGACTTAAGCCTAAATCTTAATGTAAACTTAATAGAAGATAATATTATAAATTTGAGCCCTTGGTCAGTTCTGAACTCAAGCCAAAGTCCAAACCGAAATCTAAACTTATGCTTTTGTTTTACACATGCTAGGCTTGAGCCTATATTTTTATTATATACACTCAAACATCGAACCTAATCTATTATCTTTTTGTGGTGGCCGAATTTTGCTATTCAAAAGGTTTTTTAATGGCTGCATCGATCGACATGCGGTTTTCGCCAAAAGATTCTTTAAAATATTCTCCAGAGCATGACGCCCTTGGTTTTTTCAATTTTGAGACAGTTTTGCTGCAAAAAGCTAAATTTCTTTATTTCGCCGATCGTTTTAGTAGGCCGACGCTTCTGTCTCTGTAATTTTAGAATATCCGGAAGGGATGTTTCGCGAGGTGCATTTTGTTTTGAGAGTATAGATCTAGACCTTATAATTTTTTGCATCTCTCAAGAATTATTGCCCCATTCCAGTAGAGTGTAAATATAGTAGGCCAATGACTTTAAGTTGATATTAATGCACCGATCATTCCTTTCATCGAAAGGGGGTCCAGCTAATACTCTCATAAAAATGCCCAGCTTTTCCAATCAACTATAACCAAAATGCTCCCTCTTCTCTATTTCAGGACATAAGAGGCCTATTTAGGCTGCACCTCTATCAAACCGAGAGCATCCATCTCCGATCATCTTCGACCACGTGCAATCGACCCAGGAAGCCAAGAGCTTGGCTATTGTGTACAAATCGTTTTTCTACCCTTGCAGAAAAATTTATTTTGACAAATGTTTCTATACTTAGACATTTCAAATTATATTTATTTTTGTGCTTCAATAAACCTATGAAAAAAGAAACCTGAGCTGTTTGATGTTTTCTCTTTTATAAAGTCATTCACTCGTGGGTGGTTGGCGGGTGCTCTGGTGTGGTTTGTTTCTTCTTTTCTATCAAACATCTATCGTCCTTATCTCCCCTTCTTTTTTTATGTTTGTTACTCTCTTGTAACACCTCTAATCTTCTGGCGCTCATATGACCTTATGCAGTTGCGAGCGCCGTAAAACTATTACCAAAACTAAAAACGTTTCTCCCCTTCTTCTTTTATATGTGTGTTACTCTCTTGTAACACCTCTAATCTTCTGGCGCTCATAAGACCTTTTTCAGTTTCGAGCGCCGTAAAACCTCCACTAAAACTAAACTGACCTCGTGTAACCTTACACGAAAGATGCGCTCCGACACTGTGCGGGTTTTATGAGCGCGCTATGCTAAGGAGGACATCCGATAGCCCTGTCTTTCACAACTATATCACTAAGCTGTATTGTTATGTCTATATATTGTTTTGTGTCACGACGCATTGGAATCAGGCGCTCGTCAATTTTTGGGCATAGGGAGTTATTGGTGTCATCTTAAAGGCTGTTCGTTTGTCTTGCTTTCCATGAAAAAAATATTCTTTTATCGGGAATAGAAGTCGAGATATTTTCAGAGGTAAAATTAGCGAGAAAATGGCGTCAGTGTGGTGACTTCCATAGACTTAAAAGTCCTTTGAAAATGCAAATTTAAATTTGGTGTGCCTTTAATCAACGTCCCCCCCCCCCCCCACACACACACACACATAAAATCCACACATAAAAGTGTTTCCGAATAAAAAAAACACAAGGTGTTGAGCGAAATTAAACAAAAATTCGACAAAAATTCCAAAGTGCCCGGAAAATACCGATTTCTCTGATTTCATTGTTTTGACGAGCGCCTGATTATACTAGGATGTGTCACATTTGCCCTCGGTGGTGCTTCATCGCTCTATTCTATTCCAGGGGTCGATAAACTTCTTTCTTTTATTTACTTTTTAAATATCGATTATTTTTTTAAACTTTGGCTGGATAACTGAGAAGATGTCGACGCAGGTAGATTGACTATTTGTGAGGCATAGTGGTGAAAAGTTCAAGTGGTGCGATCGAGTTACAAATTATGCTCAACTGTGGGAAAGAAGAAGGCAAAGGCCAGTAAAGGAAGACACACAGGTGAAGAAATGGGAATGGATTGGACACACCCTGAGGAGACCCCCGACAAGCATCATTAGACAGGCTTTGACGAGGAATCCACAAGGAAAACGTGAGAAAGGAAGACCAAAGATGACACGGAGGCGAGGGGTACAAGCGGGAATGGAAAAGGCAGGGACGCCATTGAAACAGCTAGAAAAGGATGCACAGGACAGGCTTCGCTGGAGAAATGTTGTTGATGGCCTATGTTCCACTGCGGGTTAAAAAGGGCAAGAGAGAGAGAGAGAGAGAGAGAGAGAGAGAGAGAGAGAGAGAGAGAGAGAGTTGTGAAAAGTATTATCCCTCTCAAAATTCTATCTGCTCAGTACTTAGTTTTGAGAAAACTGACATACCAAATGTTTGGTGTCACAATATATGAAGCTTTTTTTAATGCAATTCTTGGAATATCTTGGTGACTCCGAATAATCTTAGGGTTTTGGTAGAGCAAACAGAAAGTTGGTTTCTGACCCTAGTACGGTCTTAGTAACTCAAAGCGGCCAACATTTTCAGGTAGAACTTTGTAATTCGAAGGCAGTGATTTGTAGTTTGTCTGTCCGATAGCGTTCATAATTTCGTCAATCCTCGTTTTATCATCTGTTATTCAGATTGACTACTTCGAGCCAATCCTATTGCACGAGTGCGAGGCATAGACAATCAATATACAGCTGGAAAGAACAATTGAGGCGACAGAGTTGTGGTTCACAAGACGCATACTGCGTATCCTGTGGACAGCTAGAAAAACAAATGAAGAAGTCTTAGTTGAAGCAAATTGCAGACACCAGATTATGAGGAATATACGAAAGTGACGGGCAAATTTCATTGGACACGCAAAGCGGAAAGAAGCATTGGAGAATATTGTTACAACAGGCACGTTTGATGAAAAGATAGGCAGAGGCAGACAGGGGGAAAAGATATTGGACAAGTTAACAACATTGTTTGGAACAGCAAGAACAACAGACACCATTGCTGCAACGCAGAGCAGAGTTAAGTGGAGGTCCATGATAGCCCATGCCAGTCGGCAAGACATCGGATGATGATGATGCAGAATGACACACTTGGGAAATACCCCCTATCTCCTCGCCTTATACCTGGTTAAATGGTCGCTTTTAAAGACAATCGGGCTAACCCAGATTTTGAGAGTTTCTAGAAATCTTAACCTACACCAAAAGTGGGTATTGCTCTACCTATAGGAGAAGTTTGGTTTCATTGGTGTGTATATTTGTTTGCTTATAGAGAAAACTCTCCTTGTCTTTTAAAGAAACTGAACAAGGAGCAAAAACTTTACCTTTAAATCTCTCAAAACAGCATTTTAGGGATAACCCCTTTGTGCTTAAAAGCGACCAAATAATGGCTAGTGAATTTATTTTTAAATCAATAAACTGACCTATTTAAACAGTACCTAGACTTGGGTGGCTAGTGCCTTAATAAACAATTTAATTACGAATGGTCAGTAAACTGACCACACGGCAGTCCGCCTCAAAACAGCACCAGTTTGACTTTGACGCCTGTCACTAGAGAATTAAATATACAGCTCTGGGAGGGGCGACTGATGCAAATCTATGTAACAGACTGTGATTTAATCGAGAGGTGTCTGGCCAAAGTTTAATGTGTATGTAGTTCAGATACAGTAGTGGTTGTGTGAGCTGGAGACTGGAGATAGCCTGGCGTTACTTTTGTTCATTCCTTCATCACTCTACGTCAGAAGTGCCCGAAATTGAGCAAATGTAAAACCAGAAGATCATGCTCAGGATGTAGCAGGATAGAGATTCACACGTTTATCCAAGCTTTTGATGTGAGTAATAATGGTGAAATGCTATATATAGGTTTAACGCCCCAATCAGCACCATAATTAAATAGTACCTAGACATGGAGGGCTAGTGCCTCTATAAACAATTTAATTACGAATAGTCAGTAAACTGTCCAAACGGACAGTCCGACTCAAAACAGCAGCAGTCTGACTTTGACGCCTGTCACCAGAGAATTAAATGATATATTTAATTCGCGCTGGGACGGGCGACTAATGCAAATCTATGTAACAGACTGTGATTTAATCGAGAGGTGTCTGGCCAAAGTTTAATTTGTATGTAGTTCAGATACAGTAGTGGTTGTGTGAGCTGGAGACTGGAGATAGCCTGGCGTTACTTTTGTTACTTCCTTCATCACTCTACGTGGCAACTGGGGTTACGTGAAAGTCAGAAGTGCCAGAGATTGAGCAAATGTAAAACCAGAGGATCATGCTCAGGATGTAGCAGGATAGAGATTCACACGTTTACCAAAGCTTTTGATGTGAGTGAAAATGGTGAAATGCTATAATATATAGGTTTAACGCCCCAATCAGCACCATGATTAAATAGTACCTAGACATGGAGGGCTAGTGCCTCTATAAACAAATTAATTACGACTGGTCAGTAAACTGACCAAACGGACAGTTCGCCTCGAAACAGCAGCAGTCTGGTTTTATATCTTTGTCGCCTGTCATTAGAGAGTTAAACAATATACGGCGCTGGGAGGGGCGACTGATGCAAAACTATGTAACAGACTGCGATTTAATCGAGAGGTGTCGGGCCAAAGTTTAATGTCATTGTGTAATTCTGACAGAGTAGTGGTTGTGTGAGCTGGAGATTGGAGATAGTCTGGCGTGACTTTTGTCCCTCCCTTCATCACTCTACGTGGCAACTAGGGTTACGTAAAAGTCAGAAGTGCCTCAGATTGAGCGAATGTAAAACCAGAAGATGATGCTCAAGATGTAGCAGGATAAAGATTCACTCGTCTACCCTAGCTTTTGATGTGAGTGAAAGTGTGAGGCATCGTGGTGAAATCAGGCGTTCGGTCAAAATAATGAAATCGAAAAAAGTGGCATTTTTCTGTCGTTTGACAATTTTTATCGAATTTTTGTTTTGTGACTCAGCACCTTTAAGGTCCATTTAAAACCACATTTCTGTTTGAGTTTTACTGAAAAATGTTGATTTAAGGCACAGAAATGTTAATTTGCAGTTTGTAAGTACTCTCAAGCTTAGGAAGTCGCCAAAATTTGGCCGCCATTTTCTCGCTAACTTTACCTCTGAACAAGGCTACTCCCACCTCCTTCAATCGCAAATATCTCGACTTCTATTCATGATAGATTAGTACTCTTTTCACTGAAAGCAAGGCAAATGAATTTGGTTTAAGATTATACCAATTATTCCACATGTCCAAAATTTGACGAGCATCTGATTCCACCGTGTCTTGACGCAAATGTAAAACCAGAAGATACTCAGGATGTAGCGTGATAGAGATTCACACGTCTACCCCAGCTTTTGATGTGAGTGAAAATGGAGAAACCCTATAGGTTTAACGCCTTTATCAACACTATAATACGTCGTGTTTTACTATCGTATCCATACAACGTGGGGAACTCTGTGCCAATACTTTCCGAAGAGGAAATTTACTCGTTAATCCGATCCGTACGCTTTGCATAGCCGTCTGTCAAAATGATTTTTTTTGTTGAGAAATATTGAAAGTTTCAAAAAGATCTTCGCACTAGAAGTATTCTAAAATGTGAAGAATACAACCCCATGCGTACAAAATGACCACAGGCAGGGTGTGCGGACAGGGTTAATTTATGAGGTGGGACCTCCGAGTTCAAAACGTTCATCTCCGAAAGGATCGAGCCGTACAGGAATGTCGGATCAAGTGTTTCCCAAGGACACAACGCCAAGTGTAAAGCGCATAGAGCTTGCTTTCGAGTGGGGACATGCGCTATACAAATTATGCAGTTTTATTATTATTTATTATTATTATTTCAAGCTGTTTAAAAACTCGCTTACAGACCTAAAGGCTAGATA